TGCGAAGCATGGAAGACTACGAGCGTAACAAAATGAAGACTCACCACTTTTGAAAACAATATATGGCGGATGATATGTGGACTCAAATTAGGCACCAACATTGGTGTGTGGAGGAGAAAATTCAATAAAGAGCTAAGAGAAGAAACGGGTTTGACTCCAATTAAATGCTTTAAAATAGGTCAGAGAATCCAGTGATTTGGCCTCATTATGCGTGAAAATAATGAAAAGATAACCAAATCAGTAATGTTCTAGAAACCGCAGGGAAAAGAGGCCACGAGGTGGATCAGGGAAAATATGGATGGATGTTGTCAATGAGAATTTAAAAAGGATAGGAGTAAATTATTGGAGAAATATAATTCATGATCAAAAGAAGTGGCGTGAGACTGCGGTGGCGGTAAAAACTCCTATAGAGTAAGCCAAAAAAATAAAGAGTAAGAGAATACAGAGATCTAGTAGTTTATAATAAATGTCATCAACGAACATATATTAAAAGCAATAAAATATCATTATGTACAAAGTTTATAATGGTTAAATGCATAGAAAAGAACATAAATTGTGAAAAAAACTGAGGCGCCTGGAGTCTTGTGACCCGGGAGCCCCTGGACCCCCTTAGTCCGAAATTGATAAAACGTTTCAAATTATAATATCAAAATAATACAAGCCAAGCAATAAAATAATAAATATTTCTCTGCTTATCAAATTTTGAGTATACCACTTTTTTTAACCGTATAAAGACGACACAGCAAATACCTATATTGACCACATTTAACCTCTTCCCCTTTCATATACCAAGGTCTGCTACTCCCTCCCCTTATTCAGATACAAAGAGTGTCCCATAACCTTCCGATAATCGTAAGTAATCAAACAAAAAACGTTTCATTAAAATAGCTTAAGTATAGTTCTCGAGGATTTTGCTAACATAATATAAACGTTGAGAGCAGAGGTTGAAAGTTAAAACCCTCTAAAGGTATACCTAAGGAAGTTTAATTAACAAATTATTATTTTACGGTTAGGTTTTACACCATACCGAATTAATTCGATCATAAGTTAGAAATTTAGTTTTTTTTTCATTAGGATTAGAAAAATACGAAAACTTTATAAACTCTTTAAAAGCTCAACCTAACGATTTGGCTTTTGCTACATATCATGTTATTTGGCCTTAAAGCCATCAATACAGAAATGGAGTGGCTTGTCTAGGATTTAGAATTTTTTAGATGACCTGATAGCCTGATATCTACAATGCTACAAAGATATAATGCTTACCTACTTGTATTATTTACAAGCGTAGTAAAAATTATGCCAAGACAAATCATATTATACTCTTATTTCAATGCCTAATAAATTTTTATAATAAACACTATCGTTTAAAGTATTGCATTAAAACGTTTACTGATGAAATCGACTTTTAAATTGTTTAGTCGAAACTTCCCTCCCTACTTTCCCCTCAGTCAGTGGCGTACCTAGACCTTTTTTACGGAGGGGGATATATTTTCACCCACACTTAAAATGAAAAATTCCTTAATAAAGTAACGTCACAGCTACAACGATTTTATTAGTAAACACGGGAATTGGGCTCATTTATATTTTCAAAAAATATCATTTTAATGTGTAAAATAAGAAATTAGTATTTAATTTAATTTAATATTGTAAAGCATGTTATACATTTATAATTCAAAGTCAAACCTCCAGTGTTCCATAGAAGATAATTTTTTTGAAATGATATAATTCACCAGTGTACTATTATATACTGGGATAAATATGCAACAGTACATGCCCTTAATACCAAAAACCTTGACCCAATTCGACCACATAGATAACATAAAATATATTACAACATCTATGGATTTTAACTACTTCATTTCAAAATAATTGTAAAAAAAACTAAAAACGCATATAATTACGACTCACGGGAGGGGAGTGGAATTTTCCTTTCACCACATACCCCACTGTCCCCGCTTCTCACGAACACTTCGACGAGAACTGAAACCTAGTTTTAGTTTTTGGCACGGACCGTAATGATAATATTATAATTACCTGTGTACTTTAACGCGTCCCCCGACGCAGCCGACGTTAATATAATAATAATTTGTTTGCCGTCGACAACCCGCGCACGTCCGCACAGCTAGTGGCTTGAATGATTTTTCCCGCGCCTTGCCAACGGTACCGTACGGCGTGGAAAACGCGGCAAAAGTCCACGGAAAACATAGAATCATTTACGTTCGTTTTGGCTGAATACAAACGCTGCGATACGTTAATAACGGCCATGTAATATTCCGCATACCGGACGGTTTATTATATTTTTCTTTTTTTATTTCTTTGGATCCTCATCGAAGAGGGAAATACATTGGTTTTACAATGATGATTTTTTTTTTTTTTTTAATTTTATTTCTTTTTTTTTTTAAACAACTTTTCTACCAGAAATCTTGCTCCGATGTATCAAGTGTAACACTTTTCTGGAAGGGAATGTTACTTACTTGGTACTTTAAGATCATTTTTTTTATTTTCCAAGTAGTTTTCATAATAATTTAGAAAAACCTGGTAAAAACGTAGGAAAAACGATAATATCTACGGTAAAATTTTCAAAACATTTTGACCATTTCTGAGTAATTTATAGACATTTTAATTTTACGAGTGTTTTATGGTTTCACAACTGAAATTTCCATAACAAGTTGTAATTTGTGGTAAAAAAAAAAAATCGAGTGTAATACAGTGTATATTTTTAGAGTGTTTTTTTTCAAATAGATAGAAATTATAATTAATAGAGTGTATTTATAGAAACTTGACATTTGGACATAAAACTTTTATTTTCCTTTTCTAGACATGATCAATTTTTCAAAAAATTTAAGCCATTTCTGAGGTATTTATAAAAATTTTAGTTTTGAGAGTTTTGTAGGTAATATTTATTCGGTAGATACTCTGTGGTAAAATTGTTAAACTGAAACAAAAATTTTACAGGAAGTTTAAGAGTCTTACTTTGAGGTAAAAAAAAAATTGAGTTTAATGTAGTATTTTTATTTTATAAGAGAATATTAATATCAAATTTTGACGAGAATCCTTAAAGTAAAAAATTATGTGGAACAAATCTAATTTTTCATTTTTTTTTTTTTTTTTTGAACATATGTTTACTGCTAATTTACGAACGATGGTGAAGTCAGAATTAAGTGGACTAAGTTTCGAAATTATAACTTTTTGAATTTCTGATTTTATGCGGGTATTATATGTTATGTTAAATAACTCTATATTGTCCTTCATAATGAATATTTGTCGTGATCTAATGATTATTTATGCATATTATCATTCTAAGAATTCTGAATTCAAAGCAATGTGTCCTAAACAAGAAAAAAATTAATGCATTTTGGATGCACCTAGAGACCCAAATCATCGCTTCCTCGAACTATTTTAATCGCAAAATACCCCTCAATTTGTTGTACAAACTTTTTTACCAAAACTCTTGCTCCAGCTTATTTTCTGAAAGGAAATTATTTCTCCATGGTAATTCAGGGGTGTCATTTTTTGATTTTTCAAGCGGTTTTCATAATATCTGGGAATACCCGAGATAAAATTTCGTATAAACGGAAAATATACAAAATGTAGGTATTAGTAAAAAAATATTATGACCTTCTTTTCTGTGTATAACTTTTCTAGCAGCAATTTTGCTCCGATTTAAAATGATAGCACTTTTTTGAAAGAAAATCTGACTGGAAAGGTACTTTAGGGAGGTCATTTTTCGATTTTCCCAAGAGCTTTCCCAGGAAATGTGAAAAATTGAGAAAACACTTGGGAAAATCGGTGCAATATGAAACAAATATTATTAAAGAAATATATAATGCCTATTTAATTATTTTACCATAATATGACATATATATTGTTGACAAAGCATCACTATCAAGAATCACTGCGCTCAGAATCGTTTTTTCGTTAGCAATGGTTTATCGTTACTTACAGATATACATTAGATTATCTATAACAGTGGCTGAACCCGTCTCCATTATCTTAGGACGTCTTTTTTATATGAATTCTTGTATCAAATTTTGACGGAAATCGTAAATATTACGGCCTTTCTAATCTTGTATAACCGAACTCCGCACAGAATCGTTTTTCATTTGGATACAGATATACATTTAATACTCATTTATATCCTACCTACCCAACTTCTCACTGACAACAATGGCCCACCCATCGTGCAAAATATGTCAGTTCTTTATTTTTTTTTTAACGATACTGTATCAATTTTATAAGTTATTAATAATATATTACGTACGTAATACCTACAGTGTTATTATTATTTTCGCGGTATTTAGTTTGGCGGTTCGCGTTTTCAAAACCTATAGATTATTAATTTACGGTTTATGCTATACACTAGACGTATACACTCAGACAAAGTGACGAGAGATAGTTTACGAATCGATAATATATTATTATAGCATCATATAATAAAATTATACTCCGCCGATAAATATTTTGTATTTACAAAATTAATTTCATAATGGGCAAATATTGGTTTAAGAATTCGGTGGCGCATTTTAGAAAGGAGGGGGTGAATAGGACAATTTCCCCGGGGCGGCGAAATTTAAATGATTTTAAGTGGAAAGAGGAAACGAGGTATAGGGGTAAGGAAACAAATGCTTAAGTAGTTATTATATGGATATACTTATGTAAATGAGTAGAATCGTGAAAATCCTAAACGCGACACTGTTCACGATTAAATGTCACGCCTTCAATTAATATATTATTGTATACGGATGGATTAATTAACATTTCAATTTTTCCAATAAACTTGTGTAACTATCGTTGCGACTGTACTGATAAATAATATAGACATGTAATATATTGTTTTCAAAAAAAAAAAAAAAAAACGTTTCAATTGGGACCGTCTGAACTTTATTATTCGTCGTGATGAAGGAAACTTATGTCATGTTTCAACGAGTTTTAAAGTGATATAAAATTTAAGTGTTTTTTGTTTTGTGCTTTCTAATAGTGTTTTTTTAAGTACTCCTGGGCTTATAATGAAGCTTTTTTGTTGATTTTAAGTGGCTATATACCTCTCGAACCATCTGCTAATCAAGTTTGGGGAGGGGGAAATATCAACGTACACCTTTGTGCACCTACTTCAATATAAAAGGGGAAACTTTTTCGAAGTACACGGTTCGTGTTTTGTTCGTTTTTCTACACAAAAATCAAACACACCATCTGTATGTCTCAATAACTCTGTATATTAACCAATTACCATTTGAATACAACCGTGGGGAAGTGACGGAGAAGAATCGCCACTGTATAAATAAGAATTTATACTCCGGTGTGATTTTGAATGTAAACGTAATATTTTGAGATTACAAAAAAAAAATATACAAACAAAAAGGACTTTTCAAACATTTCGTCATTTTTGCTGCGCACCGTGCTACCGTGTGCGCCGTTATTCGCTCTCTTTTCGGTGGATTTCTTTTATTCGTGCGATTTCGTTTCAAAAAACTTACGAACTGAGGAGACCGACGATGCAGTTTTTATACGTGACCGAAATGTATAATATTAACATAAAGAGACGAAAAGTTTTGTTATTTTTTCTTTTTTTTTTTCTTTATTCGATCCCGTTGGTCGAAGTAATAACTTTTTTTTTTCAAACCGGAACAATGATTCTCGTTTCAAAACGAGAAACGTGCAAGGTTTAATTTTAAAAACAAAATAATAATAACATGAATAAATTGCGTACTTTTTTTTTTTACTCATTCGCTACCATATAATTTTTTGTTTAACAAACTATTATACAATCGTTTTTTTTTTTGTTTTTTTTTTTTATTATTATTATTATACAATAGTAATTATTAGTATATAATATTATAATTATTAATATAATTTTGAAATAAAAACTAAATAAAAGCGTATTAGTAATAATAATATTAATATTTAAACACGGCCGGTTTTGCTATACATACGTGGGTGTATATTATATTATATTCAAAACGGAATACATAATAAATAATATAATGTTTATGATATAACATAGTGTTATTATATTTATAGACACGGATAATACAAAAAAAAAAAAAAAAATGGAATAAAAATTTTCGATTTCGAAATTATACAATATTATTATCTCGAAAAAATCTATTAGTTATTCAGCGTTTTTCAGTTGTTACCGTATACATATACCTAGGCGTAAGATTATAATGTGAAAAAGCGGTTTTTGATTATTTGCCTCTTATAATATTATACCTAGTCGTAGAAGCTTTTATCGCATCCATCATTGAACGACAATAACGTTCAAAGACTAAAATAACGACTGTTTATACTATTATCATCGATTATACTACAGACAGATCTGCCTATATGATACCAACACACCGATATTCGGCTGCCGTTGAGAATCACGAACCGAGAAAACGGAACCAATATCTGAGGTCGGGTTTTGCCGCGGGGTTTTCGTGGTGGCGTAAACGTGTTAGTTTCTAAGGGGCTATCGTCTAGCAAACATTAACCATTGACATTAACAAAATCTATTAAAAAATTGTACACGTTTTGTTAGTTCAGAAAAACACCGCTAAAATCGTTACAAATCGTCTATTTCCCCGTGACTCCGACTCCCCGTGTCGAAACTCGACTGCGCCGCTGCCAGTCATACATGTATCTGTATCTGTAACTGTATCCGGATACTCTTAAAAGTAAAGTATCTGTGTCTTATTACAGCACTGCCTATCACCGCCTGTCTTGTCGTTGTCTGTGCATATTATTAGTATCTCGGTTCGTGACGAGAATCAACGGCGTCGAACCTAGCGTTCCGTAGCGGCTGTAACCCGTGGACGGTAGCCAAATATTAACATTATCTCTTATGCGTCTGTCTATCTTATAATCAATGATATTATTAGAAAATAAAAACGAAAACATTTTTAAAAAATTTGATTTTACAAATAGCATTGTGCCCATTTCTAAAATATATTGTTTATTCACTATAATATTATAAATATTATATAAGAATTATTAAAGATTCAATACATTTTAAGAATGAATAATTAATAATAATAATTATATACTTACGTGTAGGTACTCACAGAATTATTATTATTATTATATAATTTATATGTTCCTATTATATTATTATCTAAAAATAGGTTAGAACGTTAGGTGTTCATAATGTTAATAATAATAATACATAACACAGCGGCTTTGTAATGTTTTGGAAAAAAAAATTATCTTAAGTTTATTAATTATCTTAAAAATATTAATAAGAACGAATTTTTTTTTTTTAAATATATATTAATTTAATTACATAATATAGTTTGGTTTAGTTTAATTTTAAGTATGAATCAATAATATTTAATAATGAATGTATAGATAAGGGTAGTTATATCTTTTATAGTTTTTTTTTTTTTTAATAAGTAATAATAATATTATTTCATAGCAACTATTATATAATATTTAATATTATTGTTATAAATAAATTATTAAATAAAATTTACAATGTAATATAATATCATTTCGCAACATTTTAATATAGGTTTTATAAAATACAATTCATCTACGCGCATAATATACTTGCTAAAATTTAAAATAAAATAAATGAAAATAAAACGAGAAACAACAAAGTTATTATAGGTATGTATATAATAGGTATATAATAATCACGAAACCGATTTATAATATTGTTATAATAATAATAATACGGTTAAAAAAAAGGGATATTAAAAGGTGCCTATTATATATAATAATAATATTATTACGTTTTATCAAATATCGGTCCTAAAAATATAATAGGTATAATAGTTTAATAATATAATAATTTATATAATACGAGTTATAATATTATTATTAGGCATAATATAATATTTAAAAGGTAATAGGTAGTATATGTAATACTTAAATATTAGGTACTTACATCATACTTATCGTTCAATAAAATTAGGCCAAAATTTAAAATTTGATTTTACGAAATGGTGACGGAGTGTCGATTATGACGGTTAGAGGGGCTTGGGAGGTTGGTTGTAACCAACGACGACCAGGGACGCGTATTATTATAGTAAATACAATTATATAATATATAGGTAGGGGTTTAATATAAATAGTTAGTATACCTATAATTATCTAGACCCTAATTATAATAATAACAATAAAATATAATAATGATAACGATAATCGTCTTAAACATGCGGTTATATGGAATATAATATATAGATACGTTGGGCGATTTACACAGACTATTATTTTGACTTTCGGCGCTATGAAATACGCCTATATAAATTATTGTAATTATAAATATATTAAACATTTTATATTTTATACTGCGCCGTGTTTAAATAATAATCATGGTGTATAAGGCTTTTTTGGATTAGTCGTCGAAGCCAATCATATTATTCTATTTCACCACTAAATCGCGCTATTAAGTGAATAAAGTCGATTGCTAGTATCGATGCCCGTATTAGAAGATATTGTATAAACCGAATTTTAAACAGCCGACCCTATGAGTCAAGTGGAAGCCTGGTGCTCACCACTAAGAGGGCAAACGTTTTTGATCGAACCATGCGATATTTTTTTACGCCGTGAATATTGTGTGTGTGTTAAAATGGTCCGGTTGTTTTACACACACACATATATATATATATAGGTATCTATGTCAATATTATGCCCAACTTATCTATTATTATAATGTGTATTATTTTAGGTACACAACCTAACCTAACCGGGGTCGTAAATAACGTGTATAATAATCAAAAAACGAAAACGAAAATAGAATAATAATAATAATAATAATAGTATAATATGTAATAATATTATCTACAAATTAGAAGAAGTTTTGCTCAAAGATGAGGATACAGACCATGACGATATGGTGCTGCGCGATGGGCGCGTCGCCATCGATCTCGTCTCATTGGTGGAACCGCTGCAGACGGACGTGGCGGGGGCCGACATTCAGGAATCTCGGACGAACACGAACTCGTTGTAATGATTCCAGCGGCTCTCCTCGGAGTCCACGCCCGGTTTGAGTTCCGCGGCGGACGTGCCGCCAGCCGTGCCGGATCCACAACTGCCAGCCATGTAAAACCCTTGTTCCTGGAGCATGTCGAACGCCTGTTCGATTGACGTGTGTTTCAGGAAGAACCTGCTCAACAACAACGAAACCGCGGCGGCACCACGGGGTTAGCCATTACAATTATAATATTATTATGTTACACATGGTTTTGACGGTCGGATTTCAAAGTGCCCCCTCACTTTTATAGTGATGTTGGGCGGGTTAGGTTGGGTATTGTATAGATTAGGTTGCGTTGGGTACATTAACTGTTAAGTAATAATAGGTTAGACAAGGTACAATACACGATTATATGACGATAACTGCAGACTGTGGACGAAAAATACCTAGGACTGGGACCTAGACCGTATTTTGATCCCGAACTAAACTTTAAGACGCACGTGCGCGTGGTGGTCACCGAGAAAGACTCAAAAATAACACACGACCCATCTAGAATTACGCCCGTCATTAGCGTAATCAAACCGACAAAAAGGAATTAGTTGGTAAATGTGTAAAAACTCCATTATCTTCTATGGTGCACTTACATTTATGGGCGGACCATATTATTATGTGTAGGTTAGGAGACGCTGACTTGACCAAAATACAACGGCGCATAGCGCTAAGAGTAATAAATTCCTGCCGCATCACATCCGCACTACTTATCAATATTGGTTCCTCCCCCCTCCCCTACTCGTCAATAGCTTGACAGCAGCAAAAAAAACCCAGCTTTTTTAAAGGCACTCAACCTACAGGTGCAACTTACTGGTTATATGGCAGTGACAGTTGAATGGCAACGATATGGAAATATGAACGCACGGCGCAAGCTAATTAAGAATATAAGCAAGTAAGCAAATAAAATTATGGAGAATTGCCGTATATAACCTAAGCGTTCAGAGGTCATGGCTGCTATTCGTTCTATTTATATAGATTCGGGAAATCCGTCTCTCTGGCATGTGTATACTACGACTTCCCTAAAGATGACGTCAAACAACTTTCAAATATAACTACGCTTGGCATTTCCAAAATCGAAACGCAGAGATGCAGATAGAGACGAAAATAACGGCGGAAAATGATATGCCGGACGTTGTATTATCATCGAAGGGTAATTGTGACAAGATCAATACTAATGCGGTTGCACATTATCTTCATGAAGAAGAAAGAAATAACCAGCAGTGGGCAAAGTGCGCATTACAAAATGAAAATTAACCATGATACT